TTTTATCCAAACACTAGATTACATAACTGCCAGAGCCTCCGGGTACTTTTAAGTACAGTAGCATCTGCATTCATACACGTGTGTGTGCTCACAGAGCAGGCAGCGAGTAAAATATTATGCACTCAAGGATGGCACAGTGGAGGTCTGAGTGAATCCGTTCCAAGAATCCTGATCAATGTGTCAGAGAAATGTCAAACGGCCAGAACATATAAAACAACACAAACGGCTCCAAAACCCCTGAAAGACTCAAACACTCAGGCATGCATGCGTCTAACTTAGAGATAAAGAAAATGAAACAAACAAAAACAAAGAGAAGTCACTCCATGCTGCAAAGAAGTAAGGTCAAATGGATTTATGCCTCTCAGGGTTGAATAACTTTATAAAAAAAAAGAAAGCAAGAGATGGTAGACGCGACCGAGAAAGAGAAAAAGAGGGAGTGTAGAGTAAAGTATGGTTGAGCACCAAGTCAATTACAGACCACTATCTAAAATACTGCACCCCCAGCACAATCACTGAGAATAAATTATCAGACCTGAAAACCTCCGAGTTACAATTTAAAGTCTTTAAAGGCAGCAAATAAGAACTGCCCTGCCATACTAATGAACTGCTGCTTAAAGGCCACATTTTAAAAGAGCTGTCGTTCATAAACCAGCAGGAATCACTCCACGCCTTTCAAATATACTATTATAATATAGTATCTGAAAAATGCTTTGCATACAGAATCTCCTTCTAATACACGTTCATGCATAGAAAACAGTAGAAACATTAGTGCTGGCATAAACCCATCTTTGAGCAGCCGTTTTAAAGACAGGAAATCAATTACAGGAAATGAACCTAAGCTTATACTTCCCTTGGTTTTATCCCATATTCTGGGGCCATACCTTATAGGCTGCAGGGAATCTCTTAAATGGATTGGAGTTGGGTATACAATGCACCATGGTGCAGCTAGAGTAAGATTTGTCAATACTATGCCTACTGCAAAGCTTTTTTTAGGGAATTATATCATATTATTCCATTGCTCATGGCATAGCCCATCTATTGAATCATCACTACTATTCCCTCCATTCTTGCTGTTGAAAGAAGATGCTCGCGCAAGTAACAACTCCAGCTGGAGGCTTTTGTGTTCAGTGATAAAGTACATATATTTTCCCTGAAAAGAATCAGAAATGCTTCAGTGAGAGTAAATGTAAGTACATTTAAAATGATCAAAACCTGCAATAAAAAGCTCACTTGTTTAAAAAAACACTTTGATGATAAAATTCAGCAAGATGATGACATTATGTTAACATGAACATGCATAACATAACCAAGTGATTCAGGGAAAAAAAGAATAAAAGTTGAGGTATAATTTCTGTAAATACGGCACATCTGAACTGCTGTTTAGCAATCCAGATATGTGTTATCTCAGACTGTAAATGGACTGCTACTTGCTGAATATAGCACATTTCTCCACTAACTGAGCACTCAAGGCAGTTTTTACTACAAGTCACATTCACTCTGTGCTTTATTCCATGCTGCTTTAAAGTGCTTTTCTAACTATCATGCACACAGTCACACTCTGACGGAGACATTAGGGCTCATTTTGGGTTCAGTACTCCAACCAAGGACGCTTTGAAATGTGGACTGAAGAAGCCAGGGATCGAACCATTGACTTTCTGATTGGTAGTCTATTTCCTGAACCGTAGCCAGCTGTAACAGTAGCCTAAGCCAATTACCCAGCAGTAAGCTACAAACAGATATTTTGTATGTTCATAACCCATACAGTCAGATTATAATCTACAGTTTAATTAAACCTTTTTTGCAACTCTTGTCTCGATCACAGTTAGATGTATCCTGGGACACCTGTGGTACGCTGGCTGAGACCATGCATTTCAACAGGTGAGGCTCTTTTCTCCTTAAAAAGAAAACAATTAAGAAAAAAACTTGAAGGAAAAGTTCTGGTGTTCAAATGCACATGTCGCTGAGTGGCCCCATGACCTGCTGGTTTGGTCCAATATCATTGTCAATCTACAGTATTTATCATCAGGTTAATTCTAAAGTTTCTTAGAGTACTTCGTTTTTGTGAATCAACTCAAGACGAGCAGAATAATTCTCCCTATTTTTATCGATAAGCCACAAATAATTTTCACAGCTGAGAAAACTGAGAACTGAAATGTGAAAATGAGTCTGTATGTCTGCCTTTCCAGAACATTTATACACTGTCATGCCCCTCTCTCACTCTGTAGTATGTTACATGCATGTCTGCCAGTTACTCTGAGCACATGGAGTAAAAAACGCCATTCTAACAAATCAACAAACAAAATTGCCTCCATCTTGGAAAAAAGCTGCTGCTGCTTGTAAGATTATGACTCAGCCCACGTTTTTCATGTAATTTTAAGATTTGTGATTTATGATGTCAGAAGTGTTGGGGGGGATTTCAATGATTGTTCCACATCATTATTTATCATTACTTTCCTTGTGAAGCAAGTGTTTTTGACTGAGGTAATGGACATGAAAGTGGTAAGTGGAAGGTTAATAAAGTCATTCAAAACCCTCTCATAAATCTCCACACAAAGGCAGAAAGTGGAGGGCTGAGAAGGAGCAAATCACTAGCTAGCAGACAAAGGTATAAAACGAGAGGGGCAGAGAGGAAAAGGCTTAAAATGTTGACATAAATGTAAGGAATAGGAGGATGAATGGTGAAATGAAGGAAGCGATGAAAATAATGAAGAAAAAGGAAAAAGAATACTGATGAAGAGAAGCTGCCCAACTGCACAGGTAAGAAACAGTTTTTCCACATATGTTTAAACCAAATCAGGAATCAATTTTTTGAGGAGACTGCAGATAAAAAAATAAAAATAAAATAAAAAATAATAATAATTTGCCCATTATGTCATCTTTTTTAATCTCCAAATATTGGTGTTACTATGTGCCTTAAAAACAGTATACAGAGCAGGTATTTTGACTGGTTTAAATGAAGCCATTAATTGTCTTCCTAAGCTTCACTCACTCTGGCTTCTGTTCATGGGCAAAGGTTTTTGAACACATTGTCAACAACAAATGGCCTGGCTTATTAAAGGTCAGCTCTCCGTAAAATCAATTCGTCTCAAAAACAGACACTGTAAGACATTGGCTAGAATCGGCATACTCATTGCTCATTGCAAGATGTGATATGTGACAACAAGCATAGATCTCTCAGTGTTCTTCGAGAATCAATTTCATTAACTTAGCTTTGCACATATAATGTGCTAGTATACCTGATAAATTGCAGTTTATAGTTTCTACAATAAAGAGACAGTTATGTTGAATATTGCAATTGTATTTCTATTCTTAATTTTACCTATAAAATATGGAACTATGATTTTTTTTTTTTAATGGATGGATATGATTTTCAAAATGAACCCAGTAATGGTCACGTTACACTTCACTCACCAAGACTTCTGCCTTAGGCTAAAAATCTGACCATGTGTCAACATTCATTGGTCTGCCTAATTAGGGTCGATTGCTGCACATTCAATTGTTATTTGAACCAGACACTGCTAGACATTTGTTTATTTTGGCCTATTGATTGTTCATAGCTATATTTAATATATGATACACAATGCATTTAGAAGAGATATGTCAGTGCTTCTGAACCTTATTTATCCACTTACTTTGCATACAGAGTCCATCAGTGCAGTTTTGAGACTGGAGGACGAGACCCTCGCAGTCCTTTCCACCATTCTTGGGAGCTGGATTGTTGCACTCCCTCCTCCTCCACTGTGTACACTCTGTTCCACAGGCTGACCACTTGCTCCAATCTGTCCAGACACCATCCACTAGAGGGAACGGATGGGGACCACGGGAATGAGAGACGGAAAAAAAGAGGGTTTAGAAGGAGGAGACTGAAGATAACGAATTCAATTATTTCCTAAACACTGTAAAATGTGGCATGGGAGAGTACACACATAAAAAGACAGAAATTGAATGCAGAAGCTGAGCACAGGACAAAAAATTGCCCAAATGTATACAGATACAATATGCCAGGATGTATTATGGAAAGAAGTATTCTAAATGAAACAGTCTTGAATAGAACAGAATACCAGTGCACAGTGTGGTGCAGGGCAGTTTGTGTATAGCCTGTCCGTCACAAGGCAGTCCTCCATTGAGAGGGGCAGGGTTAGTGCAGCTCCTGGTTCTTTTCTGGAAACCTCTTCCACAACGGCTGTTACACGGAGACCACTCTGTCCATGTCGACCAGCCCCCATTCACTGC